ACATTACTGTGAGTATTATTACTGTGGGGCTCTGTTATACACGCAGACACATTACTTGGAGTATTATTGCTGTGGAGCTCTGTTATACACTCAGACACATTACTGGGAGTATTATTGCTGTGGAGCTCTGTTATACACTCAGACACATTACGGGAGTATTATTGCTGTGGAGCTCTGTTATACACTCAGACACATTACTGGGAGTATTATTGCTGTGTGGAGCTCTGTTATACACTCAGATACATTACTGGGATTATTATTGCTGTGTGGAGCTCTGTTATTCACTCATATACATTACTGGGAGTATTATTGCTGTGTGGAGCTCTGTTATACACTCAGATACATTACTGGGAATTATTATTACTGTAGTGGCTCTGTTATACACTCAGACACATTACTGGGAAGTGTATTACTGTGTGGCTCTGTTATACCTACTCAGACACATTACTGGGAGTATTATTGTTGTGGAGCTCTGTTATACACTCAGACACATTACTGGAATTATTATTGCTGTGGAGCTCTGTTATACACTCAGACACATTACTGGGAGTATTATTGCTGTGGAGCTCTGTTATACACTCAGACACATTACTGGGAGTATTATTGCTGTGGAGCTCTGTTATACACTCAGACACATTACTGGGAGTATTATTGCTGTGGGCTCTGTTGTACAGGCAGACACATCACTGGGAGTATTATTGCTGTGGAGCTCTGTTATACACTCAGACACATTACTGGGAGTATTATTGCTGTGGAGCTCTGTTATACACTCAGACACATCACTGGGAATGTGTGCTGTGGGGCTCTGTTATACACTCAGACACATTACTGGGGTATTATTACTGTGTAGCTCTGTTATACACTCAGACACATTACTGGGAGTATTATTGCTGTGGAGCTCTGTTATACACTCAGACATTACTGGGAATGTGTACTGTGGGCTCTGTTACCTCAGACACATTACTGGGGTATTATTACTGTAGACTCTGGTATACCGCTCAGACACATTACTGGGGTGTGTGCTCCTGGTATACACTCAGACTTACATTACTGGGGTATTATTACTGTGGAGCTCTGTTATACACTCAGACTACATTACTGGGAGTATTATTGCTTTGTGGAGCTCTGTTATGCCACGCCTCAGACACATTACTGGGAGTGTTATTGCTGTGGAGCTCTGTTATACACTCAGACACATTACTGGGAGTATTATTGCTGTGTGTTATAATCTAAGACTACAAGTCCCGTCATGCACGTGCCGCCCCTATGACAGCCACGTGTGTCGTGACGTCACGGATGGAAGACAGACGTGGCAGAGCAGAGACTTGTGGGAAGAGCGCATGCGCAAACCGAGCACTTGTAGAGAGCAGCCAATCAGCAACTGGACGTCACCGCTGCGACAGGGCCGGGATCCCGGAAGTGACGCAGTTTACAAGCGCTGCACCAGCTGCAGACATGGCGTCCGGTACCGGCCCAGGAGACGGGAAATGGAAAGTGGTGAAAAAAGGGAAAAAGAACGAGAGGAGAGCCCTGGGAGAGAGTAACCTCACCGCCGGGGGTCAGTGTCCTGTATCCACTACTACTGTAATATCCTCCCTGTAATATCTCCCCATACCCTGCACACAGTCACTCCCTATATACACACAGTCATACACCGCCGGGGGTCAGTGTCCTGTAACCACTACTACTGTAATATCCTCCCTGTAATATCTCCCCATACCCTGCACACAGTCACTCCCTATATATACACACAGTCATACACCGCCGGTGCTCCGTGTCCTGTATCCACTACTACTGTAATATCCTCCCTGTAATATCTCCCCATACCCAGCACACAGTCACTCCCTATATATACACACAGTCATACACCGCCGGGGGTCAGTGTCCTGTATCCACTACTACTGTAATATCCTCCCTGTAATATCTCCCCATACCCAGCACACAGCCACTCCCTATATATACACACAGTCATACACCGCCGGGGGTCAGTGTCCTGTATCCACTACTACTGTAATATCCTCCCTGTAATATCTCCCCATACCAACACACTGTCACTCATATACACACAGTCACTTGCGGTCATTATCCTATCCACTACTACTGCTATGTATCTCCCCATACCACAGTCACTCCCTATATATACACACAGTCATACACCGCCGGGGGTCAGTGTCCTGTATCCACTACTACTGTAATATCCTCCCTGTAGTATCTCCCCATACCCAGCACACAGTCACTCCCTATATATACACACAGTCATACACCGCCGGGGGTCAGTGTCCTGTATCCACTACTACTGTAATATCCTCCCTGTAATATCTCCCCATACCCTGCACACAGTCACTCCCTATATATACACAGTCATACACCGCCGGGGGTCCGTGTCCTGTATCCACTACTACTGTAATATCCTCCCTGTAATATCTCCCCATACCCAGCACACAGTCACTCCCTATATATACACACAGTCATACACCGCCGGGGGCCAGTGTCCTGTATCCACTACTACTGTAATATCCTCCCTGTAATATCTCCCCATACCCAGCACACAGTCACTCCCTATATATACACACAGTCATACACCGCCGGGGGTCAGTGTCCTGTATCCACTACTACTGTAATATCCTCCCTGTAATATCTCCCCATACCCCGCACACAGTCACTCCCTATATATACACAGTCATACACCGCCGGGGGTCAGTGTCCTGTATCCACTACTACTGTAATATCCTCCCTGTAATATCTCCCCATACCCTGCACACTGTCACTCCCTATATATATACACAGTCATACACCGCCGGGGGTCAGTGTCCTGTATCCACTACTACTGTAATATCCTCCCTGTAATATCTCCCCATACCCCGCACACAGTCACTCCCTATATATACACACAGTCATACACCGCCGGGGGTCAGTGTCCTGTATCCACTACTACTGTAATATCCTCCCTGTAGTATCTCCCCATACCCAGCACACAGTCACTCCCTATATATACACACAGTCATACACCGCCGGGGGTCAGTGTCCTGTATCCACTACTACTGTAATATCCTCCCTGTAATATCTCCCCATACCCTGCACACAGTCACTCCCTATATATACACAGTCATACACCGGGGCCAGTGTCCTGTATCCACTACTACTGTGGGCTATCCTCCCTGTAAGAGCCTGCCCAAGGCCTAGCACACTGTCACTCCCTAAGTATACACACACACAGTCATACACCGGCCGGGGCCAGTGTCCTGTAATTCACTACTACTGCACATCTCTCCCTGTAATATTCTCCCTACCCAGCACACAGTCACTCCCTATATATATACACACAGTCATACACTGCCGGGGTCAGTGTCCTGTATCCACTACTACTGTAATATCCTCCTGTGGCCATTTTCCTCCCCATACCTGTGCACACAATCACTCCTATGTATATACAATAGTTGTGCTCTGCTACACCGGCCAAGCCAGTGTGTCCTGTATCCACTACTACTGTAATATCCTCCCTGTAATATCTCCCCATACCCTGCACACAGTCACTCCCTTTATATACACACAGTCATACACCGCCGGGGGTCAGTGTCCTGTATCCACTACTACTGTAATATCCTCCCTGTAATATCTCCCCATGCCCTGCACACTGTCACTCCCTATATATATACACACAGTCATACACCGCCAGGGGTCAGTGTCCTGTATCCACTACTACTGTAATATCCTCCCTGTAATATCTCCCCATACCCTGCACACAGTCACTCCCTATATATACACACAGTCATACACCGCCGGGGGGTCAGTGTCCCTGTATCCACTACTACTGTAATATCCTCCCTGTAATATCTCCCCATACCCAGCACACAGTCACTCCCTATATATACACACAGTCATACACCGCCAGGGGTCAGTGTCCTGTATCCACTACTACTGTAATATCCTCCCTGTAATATCTCCCCATGCCCTGCACACTGTCACTCCCTATATATATATACACACAGTCATACACCGCCGGGGGTCAGTGTGTCCTGTATCCACTACTACTGTAATATCCTCCCTGTAATATCTCCCCATACCCAGCACACAGTCACTCCCTATATATACACAGTCATACACCGCCGGGGGGCAGTGTCCTGTATCCACTACTACTGTAATATCCTCCCTGTAATATCTCCCCATACCCAGCACACAGTCACTCCCTATATATACACACAGTCATACACCGCCGGGGGTCAGTGTCCTGTATCCACTACTACTGTAATATCCTCCCTGTAATATTTCCCCATACCCTGCACACAGTCACTCCCTATATACACACACAGTCATACACCGCCGGGGGTCAGTGTCCTGTATCCACTACTACTGTTATATCCTCCCTGTAATATCTCCCCATACCCTGCACACAGTCACTCCCTATATACACACACAGTCATACACCGCCGGGGGTCAGTGTCCTGTATCCACTACTACTGTAATATCCTCCCTGTAATATCTCCCCATACCCAGCACACAGTCACTCCCTATATACACACACAGTCATACACCGCCGGGGGTCAGTGTCCTGTATCCACTACTACTGTAATATCCTCCCTGTAATATCTCCCCATACCCTGCACACAGTCACTCCCTATATATACACACAGTCATACACCGCCGGGGGTCCGTGTCCTGTATCCACTACTACTGTAATATCCTCCCTGTAATATCTCCCCATACCCAGCACACAGTCACTCCCTATATATACACAGTCATACACCGCCGGGGGTCAGTGTCCTGTATCCACTACTACTGTAATATCCTCCCTGTAATATCTCCCCATACCCTGCACACTGTCACTCCTTATATATATACACACAGTCACACACCGCCGGGGGTCAGTGTCCTGTATCCACTACTACTGTAATATCCTCCCTGTAATATCTCCCCATACCCAGCACACAGTCACTCCCTATATATACACACAGTCATACACCGCCGGGGGTCAGTGTCCTGTATCCACTACTACTGTAATATCCTCCCTGTAATATCTCCCCATACCCAGCACACAGTCACTCCCTATATATACACACAGTCATACACCGCCAGGGGTCAGTGTCCTGTATCCACTACTACTGTAATATCCTCCCTGTAATATCTCTCCCCATACCCAGCACACAGTCACTCCCTATATACACACAGTCATACACCGCCGGGGGTCAGTGTCCTGTATCCACTACTACTGTAATATCCTCCCTGTAATATCTCCCCATACCCAGCACACTGTCACTCCCTATATATACACAGTCATACACCGCCGGGGGTCAGTGTCCTGTATCCACTACTACTGTAATATCTCCCCATACCCAGCACACAGTCACTCCCTATATATACACACAGTCATACACCGCCGGGGGTCAGTGTCCTGTATCCACTACTACTGTAATATCCTCCCTGTAATATCTCCCCATACCCTGCACACAGTCACTCCCTATATATACACACAGTCATACACCGCCAGGGGGTCCGTGTCCTGTATCCACTACTACTGTAATATCCTCCCTGTACTATCTCCCCATACCCTGCACACAGTCACTCCCTATATACACACAGTCATACACCGCCGGGGGTCAGTGTCCTGTATCCACCTACTACTATGTAATATCACTCCCTGTAATATCCCCATGCCCTGCACACTGTCACTCCTATATATATATACACACAGTCATACACGCCGAGTCAGTGTCACTGTATCCCACTACTACTGTAAACCATCCTCCCTGTAATATCTCCCCATACCCAGCACACAGTCACTCCCTATATATACACACAGTCATACACCGCCGGGGGTCAGTGTCCTGTATCCATTACTACTGTAATATCCTCCCTGTAATATCTCCCCATACCCAGCACACAGTCACTCCCTATATATACACACAATTCATATGCGAGTTCAGTGTCCTGTATCCACTGTAATATCCTCCCTGTAATATCTCCCCATGCCCTGCACACTGTCACTCCCTATATATATACACACAGTCATACACCGCCAGGGGTCAGTGTCCTGTATCCACTACTACTGTAATATCCTCCCTGTAATATCTCCCCATACCCTGCACACAGTCACTCCCTATATATACACACAGTCATACACTGCCGGGGGTCAGTGTCCTGTATCCACTACTACTGTAATATCCTCCCTGTAATATCTCCCCATACCCTGCACACAGTCACTCCCTATATATACACACAGTCATACACCGCCAGGGGGTCCGTGTCCTGTATCCACTACTACTGTAATATCCTCCCTGTAATATCTCCCCATACCCAGCACACAGTCACTCCCTATATATACACACAGTCATACACCGCCGGGGGTCAGTGTCCTGTATCCACTACTACTGTAATATCCTCCCTGTAATATCTCCCCATACCCAGCACACAATCACTCCCTATATATACACAGTCATACACCGCCGGGGGTCAGTGTCCTGTATCCACTACTACTGTAATATCCTCCCTGTAATATCTCCCCATACCCAGCACACAGTCACTCCCTATATATACACACAGTCATACACCGCCAGGGGTCAGTGTCCTGTATCCACTACTACTGTAATATCCTCCCTGTAATATCTCCCCATACCCAGCACACAGTCACTCCCTATATATACACACAGTCATACACCGCCAGGGGTCAGTGTCCTGTATCCACTACTACTGTAATATCCTCCCTGTAATATCTCCCCATACCCAGCACACAGTCACTCCCTATATACACACAGTCATACACCGCCGGGGGTCCGTGTCCTGTATCCACTACTACTGTAATATCCTCCCTGTAATATCTCCCCATACCCAGCACACAGTCGCTCCCTATATATACACAGTCATACACCGCCGGGGGTCAGTGTCCTGTATCCACTACTACTGTAATATCCTCCCTGTAATATCTCCCCATACCCAGCACACAGTCACTCCCTATATATACACACAGTCATACACCGCCGGGGGTCAGTGTCCTGTATCCACTACCACTGTAATATCCTCCCTGTAATATCTCCCCATACCCAGCACACAGTCACTCCCTATATATACACACAGTCATACACCGCCGGGGGGTCAGTGTCCTGTATCCACTACTACTGTAATATCCTCCCTGTAATATCTCCCCATGCCCAGCACACAGTCACTCCCTATATATACACACAGTCATACACCGCCGGGGGTCAGTGTCCTGTATCCACTACTACTGTAATATCCTCCCTGTAATATCTGCCCATACCCAGCACACTGTCACTCCCTATATATACACAGTCATACACCGCCGGGGGTCAGTGTCCTGTATCCACTACTACTGTAATATCCTCCTAGCAATATCATCCCCATACCAGCACACAATCCTCCTATATATACACACAGTCAGCCGCCAAGTCGGTGTCCTGTATCCACACTACTACTGTAATATCCTCCCTGTAATATCTTATTACTCTCATTTTAGGGACACACCCTTCCCCAAATCTCCTATTGCATTATGGCTCGTTTGCTTTCTCAAGGCTCCGATATTTGGATGCCTTTTTATTCACATCGCACATTGAAGGTATTAGTGGTGATTATTTAGGTATGCTTTAGTCTTTGGTCACCAACTGCCTATTTCTCGGGACACATTCTGGTAATAAGCATCATGGCTATTTAGTTGTTATACCTTTTTAGACCATTATTTATAGCCCTTTCTCTTTGGATTTGATTTGACCCCCCCCCCCATCTCAACGGTGGGATACATTTACTTGTGAATTGGTATCTTTCTTTACACAAGGGTATTTTAATAGTGGCTTGATCTCTCGGCTCAACATCCAGGGAACACTATTCTATTACCATACTTTCGCCACATATACCCATTTTTCTAACACTAAATCCATTATATCCCCTCTTAATCCCTCGGATCATCATTTACACAGACTGTCTACCTCTTTTGCAACAATTTGCAACTTATTTAGATACATTCATTTATTTTGTATTAGTTACTATGAGATATGGTATGGTCCTATTTTACTATGTTTGTTTGTTGTTTATTTTCTTTGTGTTGTTGCTTATGAGGGACTAATAAAGAGTATATTGTTATCTGCTCCTTATTAAGGCACTGTTCATACATTTGCAGAGCAGCTTTTCAGTAAAGGATACAAGGTCTTATAGGGGGCAGATCTTCTTAATCTGCTACCCTTTAGTACTTCTCTCATTCCTTATTTTGTTTTGGGGTTAAGCCCCGCTCTATCCTACAGCCATTACAATTTTGGTGGAGGGACCCGTTCCATTTCTAACCACTGTTGTATTTCTTTGATTCTAAGATCATTGCTGATGTCTTTCCTCCTTGGCATTGCGTTACGGCACACTTATACTCCAGACCAGCAAACTGCTGAATCTTCACCTTTTTTATAGAGGTTTTCACCGTTACTGATGATCAATTAATCAAGGGCATTTGAGTAGCAGCACATGTCTGTTACATAGCCTCTTATTTTCTACAAAAGCAGTATCGTTGTACTTAGTTTTTCACACATTGTAGCGGAACGCCAATATTAAATCCACGAATTCCGCTGGTTCAGGAAGTAATCCACAGTCAAGCGCTGGAAACAACAAGGCAATATCCCAAGTCTCCCAGTAACCGGACGAAACACAGTTCTGAGAGTCAACTGAGGTCTTTTAATTCAGCTTCACAATTTATACAAGTCCCCATGCAAGGGGTTTCCTGAGTCCTTTCCAAGGGACATTCCCAGAGGGGACTACATGGGGGACTTACAGTACAAAGCATTTCTCCCATCAGGCACTGCTGCACGAGAGGGATCCTCCCACTGGAATATACCATTAAGTGTATTATCCCTCCGTGCAGCAGAACCGACAATTTTTATATTAAAATACATAACTTTTCGAATATGCAGTCTATTTGCACGAATGGACGTTCGGTAGATAGCTGGGCTCTGAGCGCATCATTCGTGAGATTACCGCTCAGATCCCAGCTAAAACAACCGAACGCCGCACGAAAAACACATTTATTGAGAAACATATTAAAAAGACCGATTGACTTCCAGGGAATGAACTACCGAACGGCCCGGAACTCCCGAACGTCCTGGAGGCTCAGTGTTGTTCGCGCCGTCGAGTAGCAGTTTTTAGTACCATGCGCTCGACGACCTAACACCGCTGAGGGAACAAAGGATCCAAGATGGCCGACCGCCGCATGGTCGGTAGTCGAACGGCGGCCACCTAGGAGAGCCTCTAATTACCGATTGCAACATTGTTGCAATCGGTTAACTCTTTCCCTGCACATACTCTAAATTGTGTGAGGCTGGTACATAATATACATTTTAGGTTCCGCGAGCGGCCCGTAAGTACCGTTAAGTGAAGCAAGGAAAACCCAATACAAATAGCTATCTGCATTCGGCGGATAGCAAACACAGGCAATTCAAGGTATTACAGCCAGCATACATTGTACATAGTTGAACACACATCCCCACCGACATACAGGCAACCCTTAAAGGTACAGTCTCTTGATATAGTCCAAGTGGCTAGGTTTGCCACACACATGGCTTCTCCTTTTATTTTTGTTAAATAAAGCATGACACAGTGTAATATGGCATGTGTTCATCTGGGGTTATATTTACCTAATCCTGCTAAATAGCAGATGATTGCTATTATATCCTGATCTGTAAAAACTATAGAATTCACAGAGGGTATACTTTCTTTTTCCCATGAATGTATCTGTGGTGGAACCACTGCATATCCGTGAATTGCCTTTCTTTAGTGTGTGTGTGTGTGTGTGTGTATTTTCACCAATTTTTCATTTATTGTGCCCTCTCCCCGTTCGGTAGGTCTTCCAAGAAGGGAATCCATTCACCTTCCGAACAGGGACCACCCCAATACCTCCTTTAGAATGTTAGGTTAGAACATTTACACCTGGCTAAATAAATGTCAAATCACAAGGGAAACAATGAGAGCTCCCCTGGGCACCCGCCTTTCATACAGGCAAATGACACCAGTGGGAGCATTCGAGGATTGTTTCCCGACTCAGGCGTCTCTCGAACAAGGACATCCCCGGTGCCCCATTGGAACGTTCACACCAATTAATCAGAACGTTCACACTCGTAACATGTGGCAAACCCTGCCACTTGGACTAATTATTCTGTGGGAATAGGTGTAATTCACCAAGGGAATAACCACACGAATTGACTTTCATGGTATTGTAATGTTTTTATTCGAATGTCTGAAACTACCGAACGGGAGACCACCCCGGGGTGGTCGTGTGTTTCCCATTAACAGAGTGATACATTGTTGCGAGGGGAATTAAGTTCCTGTATGTGTGGCCGCCATTTCGCCTACCGAACACGTGGCGGCGGCCATCTTACGCACGAACAGCGGTACTTGGTTGTCGAACGCCTGGAACTCAAACCAGGCATTCCACTAACCAAGCACCGCTAAGACCTCCAGCGTGCTCTGACAATACGAATCTAACACACAAACGCCCCGGTGTTCGGTAGATAGATTCCCCTAAACGAGGGGAATCATACGAATGGTAGCAATCGCATGGATGGCTAACCGTTCGGTATTTGTGGTTCACTGAAATAGACCGGCCGCAGGGCCAGAATGCATGGAACTGTTTTCGGCTACTGAGTCCCTGCGGTCAGTCAAATCTTTAACTGTCTGTAACTCCCGAACCCCTGGTCCGATCTGGGTGAATTTCAAGTATGTTGCTCACACAGATCAGACCTACCAGGGGACCCCTTATTTGTCCCTGTACCCCATGTATTTAGGCGACATCCAGAAAGTGGGGAAAACTCTGTCCCCACTAATCTGTTTAACTGTTAATCTAAGGGGAGGAGAGTGAGGGGAGGTGACCGGGTTACAATTGGTTACTGTACAAATTATGAAAGTTACCTCCCTTGCATGCGAGAAATGCATAAAAGCAGACCTGTGATTAAAGCTATCAGTTGACTCCCAGACTATGTGTCGTCTAGTCCTTGGGGAGGTGGATTATGCTGTGTTCCTGTGACTTTGTATGCTGAATCTTTGTTCCCAGCGGAGAGCCCTTGGATTAACCCCTGCTCCTCCGCTACCTAACATAAGTGTGAAACCTCAAGGGAAGTAATTAATGAATGCTCCCCTGGGTGGCTGCATTTTCATATTGACAAATGCCGTCCAGGGGGAGCATTCGTATTCCGAAAAGAGATGCTTACCTTGCCGGTTTCCCTGAGGTTGGTGGGGACACTCATGGGGCACTGGCGAGTTTGGCGTGCTCTCATGAGCATGAGGACAATGCCCGGGCAGGCTTTTCTGTGCCTTGCAGACAAAGGGACGGTCCCAATTACCCGTGCCTGGACTCACAGGCACAGAGGCTCCTGAGAAGAAGACCCACTGGAGTGGGAAACCCTGTGTTCACAGTGGCGGGCTCTGGGGTCGTTCCTGCACTAGGGTCCCAGAGAGGGGGAGGATCTTGGGATGTGACAGTGTCTGTTTGTGTGATTCACCCCTTACAGAGTGTTATGCATAAAAACCTTGTGTGGGTGGACAATAAAATTTTGTACCTCCGGGACTGTGTCCAGTTACTGGGGGGAAAATGGGTTTATTTGTACTTTACATGGGTCTTGACCGGCTGAAGGGAGGGAATTAGCTGAGGTAACTAGTCGAGTTACCCGTGGTCCGCTACAGTATTTATTATTCATAATGTATACACTCTGTCTGCATATCCCTTCTACATTGCTTGTATACACCTTGTCATTTTTGTAGGCACCCTTTTAATTCTTATATCTATTTTCCATATACACATATATAGGAGTGCCACAGCCTTTCACTCCAATCTGTTTTGACCTCCACATGGCTTTTTGATTTTAATTTTA